AGGCCTGGTTCAATATTAAGAAAACTATCAGCATAATTGACCATATCAATTAAAGAAAAACCCCAAAAGAAACCATATGATTACCTCAATAGATGTAGAAAGAGCTCTTGATAAAATACACTGCTCATTCCTATTAAAAACACTAGAAACAATTGGAATACATATAGCTTTTCTTAAAATGATAAGTTGTATTTATTTAAAACCATCAGTAAACATTATCTTTAAAGGGAAACAACTAGAAGCCTTTACAACAAGACCACGCAAAGATGTCCATTATCACCACTATTATTCAATATTGTATTAGAAATGCTAGCTATAACAATAGGGGAAGAAAAACATTGAGGAAATTAGAATAGGTAATAAGGAAACAAAACTATCACTCTTTGCACATGATATGATGGCATACTTGGAGAAATCTAGAGAATCAACTAAAAACTAGTTGAAATAATGAATAACTTTAGCAAAGTTGTAGGATATAAAATAAACCCACACAAATCATCAGCATTTCAATATGTAATCAACAAAGTCCGACCAGAAGAGAAAAAAAGAGAAATTTCATTTGAAATAACTCTACACAATATTAAATACTTAGGAGTCTACCTGCCTAGACAAACCCAGGAGCTGCACACAATTGTAAAATACTTTTCACACTAATAATGTCAGATCTAATTGGAAAAATATTAATTCCTCAGTAGTAGTCTGAGCCAACATAATAAAAATGACAATTCTATCTAAGTTAATTTACTCATTCAGTGCCATGCCAATAAAACTACCAAAAAATTTACTCTATACAGCTGGAAAAAATAATAGCAAAAGGTAAAGAATATCAAGGGAATTAATGGGAAAAAATGTGAAGGAAAGTGGCTTTCCACCATAGCAGAACTCAAACTGCATTATAAAGTAGTAATTATCAAAACAATCAGGTCCTAGCTAAGAGATAGAGTGGTGGATCAGTGAAATAGATTAGGTACATAAGACACAGTAGGTAATGACCATTACAATCTAGTGTTTGACAAATGCAAAGATATAAGCTTTTGGGACAAGAGCTCACCATTTGATAAAAATTGCTGGGAAAACTAAAATGCAGTGTGGCAGAAACTAGGTTTAAACCAATATCTCACACAATGTACCAAGATAAGGTCAACATAGGAACATGATTTAGACATAAAGGGTGATACTAAAAGCAAATCAGAGAAGCATGGAATAGTTTACCAATCAATCATGTCTATGAATAAGTGAAGAATATATGACCAAACAAGACATAGAGACCATTATGGGCTATAAAATGGATAATTTTGATTACATCAAATTAACAAGGTTTTGTACCAACAAAACCAATGCAGCCAAAATTGGAAAATGGAAAACTGGGGAACATTTTTGTAGCAAATTTCTTTGATAAAGGTCTAATTTTTCAAATACGTTGAGAACTGAGTCAAATTTATAAGAACATAAGTCATTCCCCAATTGATAAGTGATCAAAGGTTATGATAAAGAAATCAAAGCTACCTATAGACATATGAAAAATGCCTTAAACAACCATTGATTAGAGAATTGCAAATTAAAACAATTCTAAAGTACCACCTCATACCTATCAGATTAGCTAATAGAGCAGAAAAGGAAAATGGCAAATATTGAAGGGGATTTGGCAAAATTGAGCCACTAATGTACTGTTGGAATTTTGGACTGATCCAAACATTCTGAAGAGTAACTTGGAAATATGTCTAAAGGGATACAAAACTGTGCATACCTTTTGACCCAGCAATACCACTACTAGGTCTATATCCCAAAGAGATTAAAAACCAAAAAGTAAATAGACCTATTTGCACAAAAATATTCATAGTAGCTTTTGTTTTTGATAGCAAAGAACTGGTAATTGAGGTGATGTCTATCAGTTGGGGAAAGGTTGAACAAATTGTGGTTATATGATTGTGATGGAATACTATTGTGTTATAAGAAATAACAAGCAAGATGATGAAAATAGCTGCTTAGCTTGTTGTTATGTGAAGAAAATGTTTTTGATAATTATTTAATCATGCACTCAATACTTTTAATAGAAGTGAAAATGTTTTTCTGCAGCAAAAATTAGATAAATTTGTCAGCCTTATCCTTTATTAAAAAAAAAGTGAAACTATAGGTTTTCTTTTAGTGATAAAGCCATTTTTCTATATAGTTGGAGACTAAAAATTTTGGAAAGTTTTGTGTGAAACATATTCCTAAAGTTGTCCTACAAAAAAAAGTTTGCATCTAAAAATGCTTTATTTTCATTATACTAACCTCATATAAGGATCTCGTTAGTAGAAGTATATACTTTTCTAATATTATTTTCAGGAAACAATGTGTTTCAATCTGTGCTATGAGGACTACACATTGAACATATGGTACTACAATGTCAGATAGAAAACTTGAGTTCACTGTTCATTCCTATTCCTTTTATTAATCATTAGAAGTAGAAGCCCTGTAAAATGAAAAGAAAATTGAGGGGCTGACAAAATCCTGCCTTTTGAAAAAAATATGAGTTCCTCAGTGAGTCCAGTGTGTATTTATCTTACCTTTCTTATCTATAAAGGTGAGCAGACATAAGTCAGCACCTTAAAAGATGTAGGTGAAGATTGGAAAACAGTACATGGATCACATAAACAGTAATGCAAAGAATTTGACTTCTTTGATTTCCCACCACAAAGGGAAAAAAAGGTTTTAAAGTTCTTATTTGTTTTACTTTTCCCTGTCCATAAGAAACTTTTAAAACATTTTTTAGGAAACATTCAAAATTAAGGTAACAAGATGTAGATCTTTTAATAAAAAGTTGGGTATAGCATGTAATTCTAGGGAATGCCTCTCCCCCCTTTTAATCTATGTAAACTAAAATATATTTGAATATTTGATATTTTCATCAAGGCAAAGAAAGTATATGGGCCCATTAAGCTTTCTAAAGATATCTTGGGAGAGAAAAAAGAGTGGAGTAAAATATGGAGAACAATTTATACAATAACAACAAAGTTGTTAAAAAAAAACTCAAAAAAGTTTGAGAATCTTGACTAATAACAATTCCAAAAGATTGGTAATGAAAAATACTACCCTCCTGCTAAAAGAGTGGTAATGAACTAGGATGCAGAATGAGACATGTTTGTTAAAATAAAAGGCTCATGGAGGGATTTGCTTGCTTGAGTATGAATATTTGATATAAGGGTTTTATTTTTTCTTTATTACAATTTGGAGTAGAGACTGAAAGAGTAGCAACAGGTTTGTTAAAATGAAAAAAGAAGAAGAAAAATCAGACATTTCAAAAGAAAATTAAGCCGAGCATAATACAGATTTGCAGCTTTGCAAACAATCTTCTTTTTCTATTCTACTTTGAATATTATTATATTCCATTCTGGAAAGTAATTTGGAACTATGCAAGCTATTAAATAGTGGCTCTTTGAGCCAGCTAATAGGCTTCTACTAGGTGTATAAAACAAAGAGATCAAAGAAAAAAGAAAAGGACCCATGTGTAAAAAATGTTTATAGCAGCTTTTTGTCATGGCAAAGAACTGGTATATGAATGGGATGGAGTACTATTGTGCTCTACGAAATCATGAAGGAAACGGTTTCAGAAAAACCTAGGAAGATATATGTGAGCCAATGCAAAATGAATTGAGTAGAACCAGTAGAACAATTTATACAATTGTTTACCAACAACTAACAGTAATATTGTAAAGATAATCAACTGCAAAAGACTATCTCTGATCAATACAATTCCATAGGACTCATGATGAAAAATGCTGTCTACTAAGAGTGCAAATTGAGGCATATTTCTTTTTTCCTTCCTTCCTTCTTCCTTCCTCTTCCTTCCTTCCTTCCTTCCTTCCTTCCTTCCTTCCTTCCTTCCTTCTTTCTTCTTCCTTCCTTCCCTCTTTCCTTTTGAACATGGCTAATGTGGAAGTTTGATTGGCATGTCTTCATATTTGTAATGAGTTTTATGTTTCTTATCTTCTCAATGGTTGGGGAAGGGAGGTTGACAGAGAGAATTTGGAACTGAAAATAGAATGAAGTTGAATATTTTTTTTTAAAGAAAGGGCAGCACTTTAAAGGACAGTACCTTATATCTTCAATTTTAAAACAGTCAATATTTTTTAAAAGATGAGGCTTTTTTCCAGTCATAATACTAATAATTTAAAATTTAGCTGTTGTACTTAATTTATTTCTGACAAAAGGACACTACTCTTTTTCTCAAATGGCACATTGAAATTTGAGTCAAGAAATGATCTAATTGTTGCTAGCTACTTTGGGAGAATTATTTAAGAATTATTTGTGTTTTCTCTTCTATTGGACATAGAAAATAATGTTTTCTAGAGATGTCCTGAACATTTTGTATAAACATACATACTCCTAGGGACTTTGAAGTTTCAGAAATAATGAATATTATGATAATAATAGCTAACATTTATATATCACTTACTATGTGCCAGGCACTATGCCATATATTCCAAATACTTTATCAACATAACCAGCTTGTTATGAGACAAGGAAAACATAAATTACTAGAGGGGAAGGATTGCTTCAATTTGCCTTTGTATCCCCAGGGTCTAGTAAAATTTATCTAATAAAATAAGTACTTCCTTAATAAATGCTTGATGAAATGAAATGAAAAGGATTAGCCTACTTGTTCTTGGCTCTGACTCCTTTCTTGGTGAACTGAATTAAAATAGATATAGTTAAAAAGAGCATAATTTTCATCGTGTAGCATTTAGGGTTGTGCCCCCCCCCCTTGGGTTTTCTTGGCAAAGATAGTGGAGTGGTTTGCCATTTCCTTCTCTAGTGACTCCGGGGGATCCATTCTGCCAAGCAATCAGAGTTTAAGAGACTTGCCCGGGGTCACAAAGCTAGGATGCATCTGAGGCTTCTTGAACTCCAGGCCCAGTGCTTTATCTACTGAGCCACCAGCTGCCTCCAACAGTCTTTATCCTATATTTAAAAGAGAAGACCAGTTTACAATAGGAAAAAAAAGTTTCAGTACTTACATTTGAGGACAGTTTTCTCTCCAAGGTTCAGAACAGTATTGACAGCATTAGACAAAGGTTCATGAGGTATAGACTGTGCAAGTAAGTATCCAGAATACCAAGAACATATGGAGGCAAAAATAAGGAGTAGTCCCTTAATGTAATCTGGGGAAAAACAATAAGATTTTACTGTAAAAACTAATGACAAGCAAGATTCATTAGGTAATTAACTCATATATCATCTTTCCTATACTTTATTGGGGAGCACTTTGTCCTACTCATCTACAGAAAGTGTAAGCTCTCACTAATAACATGTTTCTAATGATATTCAAAAAATTTCTTGGAACAACAGAGACTTTATGATTTGGCTGGTTTTGTTGCAGATAGTTTATGTACATAGCACAAGGTAATATTGATGAGAAAAAAGTTTGTTTTTCTAATCAAGGAAAAGCTTAACTTCATATTTGCTTTGTTATCTTTTTGTCTAAGACCTACTTCAAAGGTACAGTGCAGGGGCAGCTAGGTGGCACCGGCCCTGAAGTCAGGAGGACTTGAGTTCAAATCCGACCTCAGACCAAACACTTGACACTTACTAGCTGTGTGACTGTGGGCAAGTCATCACTTAACCCCAGTTGCCTTAAAAAAAACAAAACAAAAAAAAACACCCCAAAGTTACAGTGTAATCAATAGCATATAAATGCAGCCACTGTGCTTTTGTACACATAGGACTTAGCTACTAATACTTTTAAAAGCAGCAATCCTCCCCAAAAGTACTCATTAACAACAACAACAAAATCAAAATTGTCACATTTAATTAGTTATTTGGAATGTCATGGAAATAGAGAATCTTGAGCTGAAGAGAACTCAGATGTCTAGCTCAATCCTGTACTCAATGAAATACTTCTCTACAGCATTCCAACAGCTTCTGTTGAAATATCTACATTAATGAGAAACTCACTATCTCAAAAGATCGTTTTCAATTTCTAGAAAGATCTAATGGATAGTAACTCCTCGGCATTGAACCAAAATCTCCTTTCTGTAATTCCTATCCATCAGTCCTAAGGTATATAGAAGTAGGGTAGGTCATAGACTGGAGTTTTCATTGACATAACTCCCCGGCGAGGAAATTCTCTTTACCATTGCAAATTGGGACTTTCTTTATTATTTAGAGTCTTAGAGAGAGTTGCCTACAGCACTGATGACCTAAGTAACTTGCCCAAGATTAAATGGCTAGTAGTCTCAGATATGATACTTGAATCCACTTCTTACTGGTTTTGACATCAGCTGTCTACTACATGTGTACTCACTGCTTCTTTCAAATAATTGAAGGCCATAAAACTAACAAAGCAAATATGAATTGAAGTTTTTTCTTGGTAAAAAACAAATAATTTTTTTCTCATCTATATTATCCCATGCTAGATACATGAACTATCTGCAACAAAACCAATTAAATCAATATAGCCTATGTTATTATTCCAAGAAATTTTTTTAGTATCATTAGAAACATCTTATTAGTGAGAGCTTACAATTTCTATAGCTAAGTAGGACAAAGTGCTCCCTAGTAAACTGTAGAAATGATGATAAGTGGGCTAATTACCTAAAATGGCCTCCTAAGTATTCTCTTCAGAGTTTATACTATGTCATCATTACTCATTTTTTTTAATCTTTTGACATTTAATATTGCTGCCTGTATTTTTTTCTTTTTGGTTAGGCAACGGGGTTAAATGACTTGCCCAGGTTCACACAGCTAGTAAGTGTTATGTGTCTGAGGTTGGATTTGAACTCAGGTCCTCCTGAATCCAGTGCCAGTGCTCTATCCACTGTGCCACCTAGCTGCCCCCATCATTACTCATTCTGAATGAGAGACTATTAGAGAGAGAAGAGAAAAATACACAAAAAATAGGCAAAACATCCTATACCACAATAAAAGACCAGTCATTTTTGTCATATTGATATCCAAAGAAAGTTTAAAAAAAAAGGTAGTTTTACCTTTAGCACCCATGTACTGTTAGACGTGTTTTGATAGAAATTATGTCTCTGAAAATCTAAGATAGAAACGGTGCCTAATGATAGTAGGATCCAGGCCAAGTTCGTTTTTTAGCTCAAAAGCACTTCCAAGAATAATAATACTCTGTAGAGACATAAATCCATTGTTGGTAGAGTTGTGAACTGATTCAACCATTTTTTAGAGCAATTTAGAATTATGCCCAAAGGGCTTTAAACCATGCATATCCTTTGACCAAGAAATACCACTATTAGATCTATATCCCAAAAGAGATAAAAAACAAAAGGGAGAAGGTCATATGTGTACAAAAATATTTATAGCAATTTTTTTTCTGGGGGGTAAAGAAGTAGAAATTGAGGGGTTGCCCATTGATTGGGGAATGGCTTAAAAAGTGGTGGTATGTTATTATGATGAAATACTATTGTACCATAAGAAATGATGAGCAGGTTGCTCTCAGAAAAACCTGGAAAGCCTTGCATGAGCTGATGCAAAGTGAAATGTACTGTGTTCAAGGAAACAGTAATATTGTAAGATGAGCAGCCATGAATGACTTAGCTACTCTCAACAATATGATGATCCAAGACAACTCTAAAGGACTTATGATGAAAAATGTTATCCATTCCCAGAGAAAAAAATTGATGGTGTCTGAATACAGATTGAAGCATTACTTTTTTGAACTTTCTTTGTTTTTCTTGTTGTTTTTTTTTTGTATATGTTTTCTTTAACAACATGTCTATTATGGGGCAGCTAGGTGGTGCAATGGATAGAGTTCTGGACTTGGAGTCAGGAGGACCTGAGTTCAAATCTGGCCTTAGATACTTCACACTTACTAACTGTGTGACCCTGGGCAAGTTACTAAACCTTGATTGCCTCACCAAAACAAACAAACAAAAAACCCACAATATGTCTATTATGCAAATATTTTGCATTACTACACATGTAAACCTATATTGAATTGCTTGCCTTCTCAATGGGGAATGGGTAGAGAGGGAGGAGGGGTAGAATTTGGAACTCAGAGTTTTAAAAATCAAAGTTAAAAATTGTCTTTACATGTAACTGGGGGAAATAAAATACTAAATAAAAGGTTAAAAAAAAAGAAAAAATAATACCTATAATAAGTATAGTATCCAACCTAGTTAGAAATTCCATTAGATAATCATTTCACTGGACAAATAAGACACCTCACATTGGGTGCTCTCTAAAATATTATAGTTATACTTACTGAATAAGGTATTCAATTTCAAACCAACTGTATTGTATAATAATTGAAGCATATTGAAGTATACTTTCCTGCTCTAAAAAATGAATCTGTTCAATGATTCAGAATCTAGCAGTATCTCAGAAGAAACACTGCAGATATCAATTTGCATCAGTAAAATAAGAATAATGTACAATACTTACTCCACAGGTTTGTTATGGGAAAATGCTTTATGAATTGGAAGGTACTATATACATGAGAAGTATTATTAGCGAACACAGCATTAGGTTTAGAGGGGACCTCAGACACCATTTAATATAACCCACACTGGAAGAGGTTTCCTCTATAGAGTACCCAACAAGTGATCATTTAGCCTTCATCCAAGGCAGACTTTGGATAGCTCTAATTGTGAGTTTTTCCTTACATAAAAAGTAAATCTTGTCTGTCTTCAACTGAACTTGCTCTCCCCTCACCCCTTTGCTCTTAATTGTACCTTCTGGGGCCAAGAAGAAAACAGTTAATGCCTTTTTTTTTTTTAACATAACAGCCCTTCAAATATTATCATATCCATCATCCCAATTATCTTCCAGGCTGAACTTCCCTAATTCCTTCAGGTTATCCCGATATGATATGGTCTCCAGTTTTCTTTTTGGACATTGTCCACTTTCTTTGTGTTTTTCCTAAAATGTTGACATCCTGAATTAGAACAACTCTCTAAGTATGGTATGAGTACACTAGATTCTACTTAATAATATAGCTTTTTGGCTGTCAAAAGATCTTTCTGAGCTTGTACATCTATAACTCCTCAGATCTTTTCCACATGAACTTTTGTCTATCTGTGTCTCACTATGTATTTGTGAAGTTCATTTTCTGAACTAGAATAAATGACTTTATTCCTTCTAAATTTTTTTTTACTTATTAAATGAAGTTCATTATTCTAGCCTATGGAGTTTTTAAAAATCTTAATTATTACTCACTTTTTAGCTATCATTCTCATCTATTAATTTAATAAGGATGCAATCCATACTATTGTTAAAGTACCTGATAAAAATACTAAACAACCTATTAATTGACTATTCTGAATTTGGTCATTCAACAAATTCTGAATTCACCTAACTGTAATAACACTTAGCCCACATTACTACATCTTGTTCATATGAAAGGTGGCATTCTCATACGCTTTACTGAATTATAACTATAGTGGCATTAAACTATATTATAAGGCAGTGATTATCAAAACTATCTGGTGCTGGCTAAGAAATATGAAGGTAGATAAATGGAATAGAGTAGACATGCAATTTACAGCAGCAAATACATATAATACCCTTGTATTAGACAAGTGTAAAGAATTAAGATTTTGGGAATAAGAATTCTTTATTTGGCAAAAATTGTTGGGAAAACTGGAAAGCAGCATGGCAGAAACTGTGTGTGGACCAATATCTCACACAATTTACCAAGATAAGGTCAAAATGAATACATGACCTACCTATAAAGATATATTTTACACAAAAATTAGAACATGGAACATATTACATATCAGACTTATGGATAGGTGAATAATTTATGAATGAGAGAGAAAGAGAGAGAGCAAAATTAGGTGTAAAATAATTTTGATTATCCTAAATTGAAAAGATTTTGTACAAATAAAATTGATATAGCCAAGCTTAGAAGGAAAGCAGAAAATTGGGAAACTTTTTTTTATAGATAATCAGATAAAGGCCTATTATCTAAACTATATAAAGAACTTTGTCCAATATGTAAGAATAGGAGTCTTTCACCAATTGATAAATGGTCAAAGGATATAAACAGGCAGTTTTCTAATGAAGAAATCAAAACAATTTATAGTCATATAAAGATACTTTAAATCATATTGATTAGAGAAATGCAGATTAAAATAACCTTGAGATATCATTTTATACTTACGAGATTGGATAAAATGATTGAAGGGGAAAGTGACAAATGTTAGAGAAGTGTGGAGAAATTGGGACACTGATTCATTGTGGGTGGAATTGTGAACTGATTTAGCCATTTTTGGAGAGCAATCTGGAATTATGCCTAAAGAGTTATTAAACTACCTATACCTTTGACCCAGAAATACCACTACTTCATCTATTTCCAATGATGATCAGGGAAAAAGGAAAAGAACCTTTATGTTCTAGAATGTTTATAGCAGCTCTCTTTGTAGTGGCAAAGAACTGGAAATTGCAGGGATGCCCATTAATTGGGGAATGGCTGTTACTGTGCTTTAAGAAATGATGAGCCCAGACTTGCATAAAACAATGAAGAGTGAAATGAGCAGAACTAAGAGAGCATTGTATACAGCAACAGCAGTATTGTTTTAAGAATAACTTTAAGTGAATAAGTTATTTTGCTTATTATAAATACCCAAGTTAAATAAAAGAACAAAAGAAGAAATATGCTATCTATATCCAGAGAAAGAACTGATAAACAGAAATATATACAGAATAATTTTGTGCACACACACACATATCTCTTTATGTGTGATGGTAGCCATCTCTGGGGGCGGGGAGAAGAAAAGAAAAGAAAAGAAGATATTTACAAGATAATTTTGTTACATATTTGAAAGGAACAGCAAGTTGTACAAAGTTGATTTGCAGTTTTATGTACAATCTTCTTTTTTTATTGTACTATGTTATGGAAATGCTTTTTTTATTCCATAAATTAAAAATAAAATTTTAAAAATTATTTACTAGCAGTCTAGGAACACTATTCAAAAAGGAAATGAGGTCTAGTATCAAATAACCTTAACAAAATTAAAGGTCTTAACAAAATCCTTCAAAAGTTCCAACTTTAAGTAAATAAGATTATCTATTTCACCTTTTGTGATCTTCTTCATCCCTTTTTAATTAGGAATTCTTCCCTCTAGCCATAGTTGTGAGAAAGATTATGGGAGAGGACTGCTAGAAAGGATAATGTCAATATAGATATGTACTTTACCTCCTCACTGTTGCTTCCACATCCTCCTTCTAATACTATCAAACAGCTTGTTCTCTTTTAATGTTCACTCCATGAATCTGTATATTAACCTTTCTAGTCTCTGGTTGAAGTGAACCTCAAATAGGTCATTCTCATTTCACAAAGAGTGAACCACTTGGCTCAAAGTATCATCTCTTAATTCCCCCCCCCCCAATTATCAAGCATTGGAGGATTCTGAGAAGATTGCAGAATAAAGCAGGAAAATACCTGGCTCACTCAAATCCCCCCCCCCCCAATTTAAATAATGCCTCAAAGTAAACTTTGAGTGGCAGAAACAATTAAAAGTTGGATTAAAACAGTTGTCCTCCTAAGAGAACTTGGAAGGTGCTTAGGAAAGATCCAGTCTTCCAGAGTGATGGTCTGGCCTGATTGAAGTATAGATACCTCCAGGAAAATACTGCTGAATCAACAAATAAGAAGCACTGGGGACAGTTGTGTTGGGTGGCAGTCTCAACTCCAAGAACTCTTGTCTCCCAGTTAGTGTGGGACTTGGACAGCTGATCAGGGGAAGATAGAAAGGTACTGGGCCCTGGTGTACTGACCAGATGCAGTCCCAGGCTGTTGCTATGGGATGGGGTAAGCACACACTGATGAGTGTGACAACAGAGGGTGGGGACCTACTGGCTGTGAACATTCACAAGAAAACAGAATCCCTGGTTTTGGTTCCATGGCAGAGGAGTGAGCAGAGGTATGTAGCTGTGGGAGGGATCACAGGGAGCAAAAAGATTTCACAGTGACAATATTGCTGTGGGTTCTGGCAGTGGCTCAGTGGCAGAGAGGAGTACCTGAAGTCAGTCTCCCAGATAGAGCTAAGAAAACAATAGCATGAAAAACCTGAATTCTGAGATATTCTTTCCCACACCTGGGGACTAGAGGCTGATGAGGAGATAAAGTTACTAGCCAAGAAAGCCACTGAAAAATGAGTAAGCAAAAGAGAAAGAACCCGACCCTAGATAGCTACTATGGGGACAGAGAAGATCTGGGTTCAAACTCAGGAGAAGAAAACTTACAACCAATAATAATTTAACCAGAAAAAGTTATTATAATTCTAAAAGGCAAAAATTAGTCCTTTAAATAGGGAGATGATACATGTATCCCCTCAGAACACTATCATCACATAGGGGTCATAGAGAGAGTCAAATGAATCAGAGAGTCTTGGGGAGGCTCTGTTTTCATAATATTAAAAAAGAGAGAGAGACAAAGAGAAAGGAAAGATGAGGCAAATCATCTCACTTCATGGTATGCAACCATATAAACAAATAAGGAGGAAGGAGTGGGTAGGGGAGTGGGTGACACTTGATATTTATTCTTATCTGAACTCCTCAATGGGAGGGAATACTATATATTTATAGGAGGGCATAGAGATATGTTTTACTTAACAGGAAAACAAGTAGGAAAAAATAGCAGGGAAAAAGGAGCATACAGAGTTTAGATTAAGAGAGGTATTAGTCCTAAGCAAAATAAATTCGAACTGAAGACATTAAAAAAATTATAGCAGTTCTTTTTTGGAGGTGGAAAAGAATGGGAATCTAAATGGGAATCCCTATAAATCAGGAAGTTACTGACAAAATCGTGGTATACAAATGTGATGGAATACTGAGGATAGCTGTAGAGAAACCTGAGAAGACTTGTATGAATTAATGCAAAGCTAAGTGGGCAGAGCAAGGACAACAATTTATATAACAACATTCTAAAGATAATCAACTTTGAAAAACTTAGAACCTCTGATCAAAACAAAGACCAACCATGATTCCAGAGGACTAATGATGAAATACGCTACTTTCTTCCTGACCAAAAGGTGATGGACTCAGTGTGCAAAATGAGTTGCTTCTGGGGGGACATGGCCAATGTGGTTAATTTGTTTTGCTTGACTATACATGTTTGTAATATGGGTTTTCTTTTTCTTTCTTTCTCAAAGGAGTGGGAGGGAGGAGAGTGGAACAGAAGGAAGATTCTTGTTAATTGAAAAGAATTAATAGAAAAAATAATGGGGCTGGAAAAAAAAAGAACAAAAAAGGAGTTCAACCATAATGACAGATACAATATCCAGTTTTCTTTTAATTTTTAGAAAATTATATAAACTTTAAAACTGCTTTCTAGTTTTCCCAGTAAATTTTTTTTAAAAAAGTGTTTCTCTTTAAATAATTTCTATTCTGTTTTTCAAATAATGGATTATTAACCATTTTTTGTTTCTAGTTCTAGGCCTTATTTGTTCTAATGATCTTTTTAAAAAAACAAATACCAAATAATATTGATGATTAATACTTGATAGTAAAAATTGAGGTCTGAAGTGCTATTCCCCCTTTATTCCTATTTTTCCATTATTTTCCTTGAGATTCTATATCTTTTTGCCCTTCCACATAATTTTTTTTAATTATTTTCTCAAGCCTTATAATATATCCTCTTGATAATTTGGTATGGCACTAAATATATAAATAATTTAGGTAGTAGTTTCATTTATATTCTATTGATATGAGCAAGGTGTAAGTACCTAATATATCTTCAGTTATTTAATCATTCTTTATATCTTTAAGGAGTGTTCTGTAATTGTATCTCTACAATACTTCAATACTTTAAGGGTCCATTAAGTTATTAAAAATAGGGATACTTCCAGAAGCAGGCTGACCAAATGTGTCTGCTTGCAGGACTGAGCTTGTGAGGAATAAAAAGATGATCCACACTCAAGAGTAGCATTCTAAAAGACACATAGCAGTGTACTGAGAAAGAAGGAAGTTTAGAAGAAAGTAGTAGTGATATGGCTTAGACCCCAGGAGCAGAGTCGCCTCTCAGTTCCAGCTTCTAGTTCTGTCTGACTCCTGCAGAGAAAAAGTCAGGTTAGGAATCCCAGACCGAAGGAGAACTTATAATTCTTTCATTCTGTACCAACAATCTTTTTCCAGCTGACTGAGGTCAGCAGCATTCTACTTTTACCCAGACCAGGGGTGCAGTAATTAAACTTTGCCCTGGATCATACCACTCCAGCAATGTTGAAAGGTTATAGGTCCCCAGCCTGTCCCTGAGATTCTGAAATAATGTAACATTCATTGCTTTAAGAAAGCAGCAACAAGCCTAGCCCAGACTTTGCCTCCAGAATTGTATTGAGCTCAACCCTAACAAGTATGAAATCAGGAAGAGGGAAAAAGAAAGGGGATAAGATATTGTTGTCATTGTTGTAGTCATCATCTATTGGGTAAACCTCTTTTCTCTTCCCCTCCTCCATGAGCATGCAAGGATTATTGAATTACTGGAAGTCAGAACTCCGTTCCAGGCCTAGATTCTTCACTGAGCTATATGACCTTAAGCAAGTCACTCAGTTTCTCAAAGTTCTGATTTCCTTATCTATAAAATGAGGAGGCTGGCCTAAATAATTTCTAAGGCTCCTTCTGTAGCTAGCATTCATTTGTGTGTGTGTGTGTGTGTGTGTGTGTGTGTGTGTGTTTTAGAGTCACATCTAAAACGGCTAAGAAACCAGTATACTTAAAAAGGAGCAAGAAATATAACAAGCATTTAAAACATATTGTACAAAAAAGAAAAAAATAAATAAATCAGAACTCAAACAGCTAAACTTTAAAGAGCAAATCAAGCTAGTTTGGAAGGAAACAAAGGCAGCTACTTTTTTCTCTACTTTTCATTTCCACTTCCCAATACAGGTCACGTGAATATTTATTTTTAAGAGCTGGAAGACGTCTAATGAAACTTTTCCTCAGATACAAACTTGATGTCTGAAAGCCTCTTTCAGCTCTGATATTTTGTGATACTATGATCCCAGGCCACCTGGCTTCCAGTATGTGGTTCCTTCCAATACACGGTGCCTACCATGAAGCCTAAATAAATACTTGACTTATTTATTCACCCTAAGCTCTTTTCTTTTTTGCCTTCAGGGTATTTTCATAGTGCTTCTACCAAATGCTAATAAATTGCAATGTTTGAACTTCATATTTGCTCACTTACACTCACTTATAACGTCAATTCTATTGTCTTTCTTGTGTCCTTTTAAGTAGGCCACCTCCACCCAAGGACCAAATTTAATTGCCAAAAAGAATTAGGAAGAATTATGAATCGTTTCTTTCTTATTCACCAGTGGTGAGCCCCTTCTTCCTTGCTTTCTGTTTTCAAGGCAAATGTTATTCTTGCTAAAAGATTGTCACTGTTTGTCTTCCCTCATCGTTGTTCTATCTGCCATTCCTGCTAGGGGTAGGGAGACAATATTCAACCATTAAAATGGAAAAGACAAAAGGGTGTGAAGGAATACATAAATAATATTTTTGTCTTGTTAGGGCATAGAAAATGCTAACCTACTCTGACATCTTTCACTACTCCCTTCTCTCTTCCCCCTCCCTTCCTAAGTTACATCAACCATGCATAAAATACAAGGCCATGTAGTTTAAACATCACAATTCCCAACTTCTATCTACCATCATCTCCTTTCTGAGAGTGGGTTTGGAAGTGGAAAGGGAAGAGGGAAGGTTTCTCCCCAGTATGGGAGCAGCCCAACCAGCTTATCTACCCTCTGTCCAGCTCTCTCTTCTTATACTTCTGTCCCCTCCTCTTCTTCCTTTTCTCTAGCTGTAGCTTTTCTTTCTCTTTCCTCCTCCTCCTCCCCCTCTCCCTCCCTCCCCTATTCCCTTTCCCTCTCTGATTCCATTCTCTTTTCTGTGCCCCTTCCTCTCCTCTATTCCTCTTGCTCTCCTTTCTTCTCTCTTCCCCTTCCCTCCTCTTTTTTTGCTCTTCCATTTGGCAGGAGAGGAAGCAATGTTGAGGGGGAGAAAAAATTATAAGGAGACTCACACTCACTAATAAACCCTGATCCCATCTTCTAGGGTCGTGTCTAACTGCTGTCCTGTGAGCAGCTCCAAGACTTTCTCTTGTAGCTGTTGCTGCTGCTGCTGCTGCTGCTGCTGCTGGTGTTCCTGGGTGGCTGGCGCTGTCCCGGATGTGTTCCAGTACTCTGTTCTTTCCTAGGTGTGGGGTGGAGAGAAAGGGACCTCCTCTATCTCTTGACACACCCCTAGGGAGGGAGAAGAAGGGTTGGGTCTGACAGAGCAGGAAAAGGTGATCAGAAATGGGGAGGGTGAATCATGAAATTGCTCAGTGGAATGTCTCCCTTCTGATTGTCTTCAGCCTTACTTCTGCTTTAGAATGGTGGCAACCGAGTCTCCCATATGCTGTCAGTTGAATCTCATTTGCTTACTGAGAAGCAGAAATTGCCCAACTTGGCAAACCCTGTATAATAATATTTTAGAACCTTATATTGTAATAACACTTTAGAGTTTGGGAAGAACTTTTCATTTATCTCTTTCTGTCTTTTAAAAAAATTATTTTTAATTTATGGAGTAAAATAAGTATTTCCATATCATAGTACAAAAAAAAAAAAGATTGCACGTGAAACTGCAAATCTGCTATGCACAACCTGCTATTCCTTTCAAATAGATAAAAAAATTATATAAATTTCTTTTTTTCCTTTTTTTTCTTCCCTACCCCATAGATGGCTACCATTAGACACAAATAGGTATGTGTGTGTGTATGTATGTATGTAAAATTAGTCTATGTATTTGTGTCTATTGGTTCTTTCTCTGGATGCAGATGGTGTCTTTCTTCATATGTCCTTTATAGTTATTTTGGGTATTTATTATAGTCAAAATAACTTATTCACTCAAAGTTGTTCTTTTCTTTTCTTTTTTTTTTTGGTTAGGCAATGGGGTTAAGTGACTTGCCCAGGGTCACACAGCTAGTAAGTGTTATGTGTCTGAGGCTGGATTTGAACTCAGGTCCTCCTGAATCCAGGGCTGGTGCTCTATCCACTGGGCCACCTAGCTGCCCCCTGAAAGTTGTTCTTAAAACAATATTACTGTTACTGTATACAGTACTGTTCTCTTGGTTATGTTCATTTCATTCTTTATTATTTTATGCAAGTGTTTCCATGCTTTTCTAAAATCATTGAGCTTATCATTTCTTAAAGCTCAGTAGAATTCCATCACAATCATATACCACAACTTGGTTAGCCATTCCCCAATTGATAGGTGCCCCTTTAATTTCCAGTTCTTTGTCGCCATAAAGAGGGCTGCTGTAAACATTTTAGAACATATAGGTTCTTTTCCTTTTTCCCTAATCATTTTTGGAAATAGACCTAGTAGTGGTATTTCTGGGTCAGAGGGCATAGGTAGTTTAATAACTTTTTGGGCATAATTTCACATTGGATCCGTTCACAATTCTACTAACAATGAATTAGTGACCCAATTTTTCCACATCTCCAACACTTGTCACTTTCTCCTTCAATCATTTTATCCAATCTGGTAGGTGTAAAATGATATTTCAAGGTTGTTATAATCTGTATTTCTCTAATCAATGATGATTTAGAGCATGTTTCATATAACTGTAAATTGTTTTCATTTCTTCACTGGGAAACTGCCTGTTCATAGCCTTTGACCATTTATTAATTGGGGAATGACTTGTATTCTGATAAATTTGACAAAGTTCTTTATATATTTTAGATATGAGACCTTTATCTGATAAACTGTCTCTTTATCTGGTTCAGTCTTAACAGCACTTCTGCCATGCATTAATTACATACTATCTGTTCCTGTTTTCTGAGATCATCTCTTGAGGGTCAAGTAAGCTATTTCAGCTTCAGGATGCTAGGCTATAGCCATTAGATTTTGTCCTTGAGAAGGGCAGACTAAAAATTCGTTAGTTGTAAAGATCACATCTAGCTAATAAAAGCCAGGCAAATCTCCCCAGAGTAAGCTTAGGTCTTTCCTTACTGACACATATTAAAGCAGAGACTACTCTTTTTTTTTTAAACAAAAGCTCTTTAACTTAGGATTGTACCAGGCTTACATATTTCCAAGACCTTCTCTAGTTTAGCTGAAAATGAATTTGGGCCAGAATAAATTGTGGGCTGAGGAGGGCAAGGTCAGTGTTCTTCCTCCACACATTTTTGTCTTTAGTTTCTAATCAACAGCAAAGTCTGATTACTTTGGTGTAGTATGGGTCATACTACATGTACACTCTTAGACTTGTTTGTAATCAGTGATTTTTGAAGCCTACTATGTGCCAGTCACTCTGCTACGGACTGAGGATACAACTCAAAGAATGAAACAATGAAATGATCCTTATTAGAACTTATATCTAATAGGCGAGAGAACAAGTATATATAAAAATACATACAGCAATAAATATAAAGTTAATAAATACAAATATATAGAATGTAGTTGAAAACAATGTGATTTGAGAGGGAGGGCACTAGTAGTTAGAGGAATCAAGAAAGTCTTTGTGTAGAGATGATGTCTAAGTTTCTTCTCATTGAAGGAAAAGAACTCTATGAGGCAGAGGTAAAGAGGGAATGCATTCCAGTCATGGAGAATGGCCAGTGCAAAGGCGAGGAGAAAGATGGAATACTGTGTGTGAGGAACAGAGAGAAGGCTGGAGTTGCTGGACTGAAGAATGTGGGAGAAGGAGTGAATCCAACGAAGCTGGAAAGCTAGACTGAAAGCAAGTTGTAAAACCTAAATAGAAGAGGTTGCATTTTATCCTAGAAGCAACAGGGAAGCTACTGGAATTGGTTGAGTTTGTAAGTTACGTGATCAGAATTGACTTAAAGAAAAATATTTTGGCAGTGGTTTGTAGGATGGATTGCAATGGGGAGAGAATTGAGGCAGGAAGACCAAATAAAGTGATCATAACAAGAGTATGGGCAAGAAGTGATAAAAACCTGTTCAAGAGATGTTTTGAAGGCAAGATTTAATAACAGATCGGATATGTAAAATGAAGGAGAGTGAGGATTCCAGGATAATTCAGAATTTATAAACCTGAAACACTGGAATGACAGTGATGCCTTTGATAGATTTAGGGAAGTTTAGAAGGGGGACAGGTTTAGGGAAAAAGATAATGAGTTCAGTTTTAAATATGTTGAGGGATCTTTTCCTTTTTCCTTTTAAAGTACAAATTCTATAATTTCCATTGCCATTTGAGAGTTTTCTAATTACATTGTTTCCTTCCTCACCCCCCTCCAACATCTATCCTGTCTGTTATGGTGAGAATAATAAATACTGCTCTTTTATCCTTGCATTTATTCATTCCCATTAGATGATTGGCTCCAGAAACTAAAACAGTGCTGTAATGCAGATGAAGTACATATCATATGGCCACACGCTTTAGAGGACCTTGCCTCCGAAAGGAAATGCATGCTGGTGTTCACAAGTGGAATCAGGCCTGAGTTTGTGGCCATTTCAGAGCAAACTAATTGCCACCAATGCAAAAACAACTCAAAGCGAATGTTTCACTGATAGTAGTCCAATGGCATCATTGTCACTCCATGCATAAAACTGAGGCAATGGCTCACTTTTATAAGCCATATTAACCATACAGTAGAGACACTGTAAATTAGTGCTCAGCTTTTGAAGTCAGGAAAACCTGGGTTCAAGTGCTGGCTCTGTGGGCTGTATGACTTTGGGGAAGTCACTTTACCTCAGTGCTCCCAGCAACTATCTAAGACTTTAATTTACAGAACAGTTGTTAATTTCCATTATTAGAAGCAATTTCTTCACTGAGTATTTCTTAGACCAATAAAATCATGTCTAAAACCAAAACCAAACCATACAATATTGTATGGTTTAGAAAGTGCTTCACACAGAAACATGGACTAGCTGTACCAGATATCAAATTACATTATAAAGCAGTAATCATTAAAATAATCTGGCACTGAACAAGAAATAGAGTGGTTGATCAGTGGAGTAGGTTAAATATATGATACATAAGCTTTTGGGACAAAATCTCATTATTTGACAAAAATGGGAAAACTACAAAGCGTTTTGGCAAAGCTTTGGTATAGAACAACATCTCACACCATATACCAAGATAAGTTCAAAATGAGTGTGTGATTTAGACACAAAGGGTAATACCACAAGCAAATTAGAGGAGTATGAAATAGTTTACCTGTCAGATATATGTATAAAGGAAGAATTTATGCCCAAACAAGAGATTGAGGGCATTATTCAATGTAAAAAGAATAATCCTGATTGCATTAAATTTAAAAGTTTTTGCACAGACAAAATCAATGAAGCCAGGATTAGAAGGAAAGCAGAAAACTGGGAAATTTTTTTTACAGCAAGTTTCTTTGATGAAGACCTCATTTCTCAAATGTATCAAGAACTGAATCAAATTTGTAAGAATTCAAGTCATCCCCAAATGGTAAATGATCAAAGGATATGAACAGGCAGTTTTCAGATAATGAAATCAAAGCTGTCTATAGTCATATGACAAAATGTTCTAAGTCACTATTGATTAGAGAAATTCAAATTAAAACAACTCTGAGGCATCATCTCACACCTATCAGATTGGCTAATATGACAGAAAAGGAAAATGACAAATGTTGGAGGGGATATAAGAAAATTGGGACACTAATGTGCTATTGGAATTGTGAACTGATCTAACCATTCTGGAGAGCAATTTGGAACTATGACCAAAGGACTATAAAATTGTGCATACCCTTTGACCCAGCAATGACACTACTAGGTTTGCAGCCAAAAGAGTTTTTTTTTTCTGTTTGTTTTTGGCTAGGCAATGGGGTTAAGTGACTTGCCCAGGGTCACACAGCTAGTAAGTTTATGTGGCTGAGGCTGGATTTGAACTCAGATCCTCCTGAATCCAGAGAAGGTGCTCTATCCACTGCTCTACCTAGCTGCCCCCAAAAGAGGTTTTTTTTTTAAAAAAAATACCTATATGTACAAAAATATTTATAGCAGCTGTTTTTGTGGAGGCAAAGAATTGGAAATTGAGAGGATGCCCATCATTTGGGGAATGGCTGAAGAAGTTGTGGTGTATGATTGTGTTGGAATATTATTGTGCTAGAATAATGATCAGCAGCATGTTTTCAGAAATACCTGGAAAGACTTACATGAACTGATGCAAAATGAAGTGAGCAGAACCAGGAGAACATTGTACACAGTAATGGCAAC